ATCTGCCTTGTCGGCACTATGAGAGTACCTGGCATCTGCCTTGTTGGCACTATGAGAGTACCTGGTATCTGCCTTGTTGGCACTATGAGAGTACCTGGTATCTGCCTTGTTGGCACTATGAGAGTACCTGGTATCTGCCTTGTTGGCACTATGAGAGTACCTGGTATTTGCCTTGTTGGCATTATGAGAGTACCTGGTATCTGCCTTGTTGGCACTATGAGAGTACCTGGCATCTGCCTTGTTGGCACTATGAGAGTACCTGGCATCTGCCTTGTTGGCACCATGAGAGTACCTGGTATGTGCCTTGTTGGCACTATGAGAGTACCTGGCATCTGCCTTGTTGGCACCATGAGAGTACCTGGTATGTGCCTTGTTGGCACTATGAGAGTACCTGGCATCTGCCTTGTTGGCACCATGAGAGTACCTGGTATGTGCCTTGTTGGCACTATGAGAGTACCTGGTATCTGCCTTGTTGGCACTATGAGAGTACCTGGCATCTGCCTTGTTGGCACTATGAGAGTACCTGGTATCTGCCTTGTTGGCACTATGAGAGTACCTGGTATCTGCCTTGTTGGCACTATGAGAGTACCTGGTATCTGCCTTGTTGGCACTATGAGAGTACCTGGTATCTGCCTTGTCCGCACTATGAGAGTACCTGGCATCTGCCTTGTTGGCACTATGAGAGTACCTGGTATCTGCCTTGTTGGCACTATGAGAGTACCTGGCATCTGCCTTGTTGGCACTATGAGAGTACCTGGTATCTGCCTTGTTGGCACTATGAGAGTACCTGTGGGTTATACAACCCAAGCTGGATAAGAAGGGGTCGTAAGCAAGGGATCGTTGGGGAAGACATTTGCTGCTCAGTGGTACAAGATCTTTCCCGCCACATCCAGTCACATCAAAGTACATACAGTCATATCTAGTCACATCAAAGTACAATCACATCGCCTCTAAGTACGTACAATCACATCCACATTCTGTACAGACGCCACAGAGGTCATACATAAACAGCGAATTCCAGTACAAACTTGTACACAATTGTACACGGGTACTCACACATGTACAAAGAACAAAGAGGTCACATAAAAGGCACAGAGGAATAAACGCGAGGTCTTGTCAGCGGCAGTTGCCAGAACATTTTTGTTTGTTGGCCAACCCTTGGCCAGGTAGAGAGAGAGAGAGAGAGAGAGGAGAGAGAGAGAGAGAGAGAGAGAGAGAGAGGAGAGAGAGAGAGAGATGAGAGAGAGAGGAGAGATGAAGAGAGAGAGAGAGAGAGATAGAGAGAGATAGATAGAGAGAGATAGATAGAGAGAGATAGATAGAGAGAGATAGATAGAGAGAGATAGATAGAGAGAGATAGATAGAGAGATAGAGAGAGATAGATAGATAGAGATAGATGTAATCTTTTGACTACCGCCCACATGATGGGTATGGGGTGCATAATAAACATATTAAACTAACTAAACTATATATATAGAGAGAGAGATATAGAGATATATATAGAGAGAGAGATAGAGAGATAGATAGATTGAGATTTTCTTCAGATTTTTAACCTATGAGAGTTAGCCACCCAGGATAACCCAGGAAAGTCAGTCATCAAGGACTGTCATATTTTTATTGGGTTTTTAAATCTTGTCCCCCTGGATGCAACCCACACCAGTCGAATAACGCCCAGGTACCTACTTGCTTGCTAGGTGAACGGAGACAGTAGGTGTAAGGAAACACACCCTATGTTTCCGCTCAGCCGGGGATCGAACCACGGACACTTAGTGTGTGAGACGAGTGTGTTGCCTACCGGGCCACGGGACACTGTGTACTCACCTAGTTGTGGTTGCAAGGGTCGATTCACAGCTCCTGGCCCTGCCTCTTCGCTGGCCGCCAGTAGGTCTACTCCTTGCTTCAAGAGCCTAATCGTACCTCCTCTTCAAGCTATGGATGGGTCCTGCCTTTACCACTTCACTCCAGATTGCTCCACTTCCTGACAACTCTTAAGGCTAAAGATATACATTTTAACATTACTATGATTCATCTGAGTTTTTAACTTTGAGCTGTGCCCTTGTGTACCTTTTTCACATCTCTCAAGCATTCTGACCCTACTTTGTTAATTTCTCTTGAGGTAGACAAGCTACAATGTTATGAATGACTCTTAGACGAGGAAAAGCATTTGCTGCAGCAGTTGTTTGGTTGATGTGCACCTCAGGTGATATGCTGGGTATGATACCCCAAGCTCCTTGTACCCTTCCTGTACTGCTTCACTCTCCAATGTTACTCCTCAATCCATTCTCTCTCTCTCTCTCTCTCACACACACACACACACACACACACACACACACACACACACCACACACACACACACACACACACACACACACACACACACACTGGGAAAGTACTGCAATGGATCAGGGAATACCTGATAGGAAGGAAATAAAGTGTTTCGGTGCATGTGTCAAGTGGGGTTTGACAAGGGTCAGTCCTAGGTCCAGTGCTGTTTCTTGTATAAGTGAATAACATAATCGAAGGGATAGTCAGGTGAAACTAATGGGAAAAATACAAGGGGACAAGGATCAGGTAAGCCTACAAGGAAATCTGGACAGGCTGCAAGCCTGGTCCAACAAATGGCTCCTGGAGTTTAACCCCAGGGGAAGGACAAAGAAGACTAAAGACGGAGTACAGCCTAAGAGGTCAGAGACTGCAAAACTCACTCAAGGAAAAGGATCTTGGGGTGAGCATCATACTGAGCACATCAGCCAAATAACTGCTGCAGCACATGGGCGCCTGGCAAACCTGAGAATAGCTTTTCGACATCTAAGTAAGGCATTCACGGCGCTACACCGTGTACGTCAGGCCCATATTGGAGTATGCGGCACCAGTGTGGAACCCACACCTGGTCAAACATGTTTGTAACAAGACTAGTCCTGGAGATAAGGAGAGAATGTTTAAGATGTGACACAGCAACAAGGGGGTCACAACTGGAAGTTGAAAACTCAAACAAGTCACAGGGATGTTAGGAAGTATTTCTTCAGCCATGGAGTTGTCAGGAAGTGGAACACTCTGGAGAGTGATGTAGTGGAGGCAGGATCCATACATAGCTTTATGAAGAGGTATGATGAAGCTCATGGAGCAGGGAGAGAATGGACCTAGTAGTGACCGGTGAAGAGGCGGGGCCAGGAACTATGAATAGACCCCTGCAACCACAATTAGGTGAGTACACACACAAATGCATGCACACATACATATGTACATACCATATTTTGCAGCTTATTAAATGCATTTTTCCCATAGAATGTCTCCAAAAATCACCCTGTGTCCTATAAACGGAAGGTCAGCGACAGGAGCTATAAGTTTGGGGTGTGAGGTGGGCTGTAGCTCTCCCAGTTACATCCGATGCTGAGCTATTGAAACTAAAACAAGTCTTATAAACCATGTCTTATAAACCGTGAAGTACAGTACATTCCCCAGAAAGTGGTGCACAACATTAAACCAACACCCAGGTACCTAGTACCTGCTGGGGTGTGATTCCGAGTCACTCAGTGTAATCTGAGGATGCTATCAATAAAGCCATAAGAAGCTCACATTTTAGCTCTGGTGATGGAAAAAAAAAAAAAAAAAAAAAAAAAAAAAAAAAAAAAAAAAAAAAAAAAAAAAAACATGAAAACAATGTTAATTAGACCTGTGCTTCCCAAAGTGACACTCCCTTAGTGCTCTACAGGCTATACGAAAATTTGATACATCTCATCCCCTAGTTCTCCGTATCCAACTTTGGCTACGCCGTATCTCTACCAAACATAAAGATATTGTTTTTTGTTGGGTCCCTGGTCATGTCGACGTACAGGGCAATGAACAGGCAGACACTGCTGCACGGTCAGCAGTACATGACCTACCAATTTCCTATCGAGGTGTTCCATTTCTGGACTATTTTGCTGTAATAGCTACCCACCTTCGCACCCGTTGGCAACAACGTTGGTCAACTCTGCTCGGTAACAAACTTCATTCTATTAAACCGAGCATAGGTTACTGGCCGTCTTCTTGTCATCAGTGCCGAGGTTGGGAGACCACTCTCTCCCGCCTTCGCATTGGTCACACTCGTCTTACTCATGGGTATCTCATGGAGAGGCACCCTGTTCCTCTCTGTGAGCAGTGTCAAGTTCCAGTATCAGTCAGCCACATTCTGTTAGACTGCCCTCTCTATCAACGAGCACGCAGAATTTACCTCCGTCGTCGTCTTCGTTCTACTACTCTCTCTTTACCTTCCCTTCTTGCTGATGGACCCTCCTTTAATCCTGACTCTCTCATTGACTTCTTGACAACGACTGATTTACTCCACAAACTCTGATGATACTTTTCGCACTCCCCTCAGCCCTTTCTAGTTCAGTCTCTTGCTGCCCTTTACCCTTTCACCATCCACTACCCTGCTGTTATCCGTAACCTATTACTCATCCATCTCCCTTTTGCCACCTGATGCCCTCGCTTCCTTCCTGTCCTGCAGCGCTGTATAGTCCTTGTGGCTTAGCGCACCTCTGCAAAAACAGTGATAATGTGCGAGTGTGGTGAAAGTGTTGAATGATGATGAAAGTATTTTCTTTTTGGGGATTTTCTTTCTTTTTTGGGTCACCCTGCCTCGGTGGGAGACGGCCGACTTGTTGAAAAAAAAAAAAAAAAAAAAAAAAAATATAATTCCCAAAGTGACAAACTGTTTGTATATAAACTATCATTAGGCTCTTCACAGGATATGAAAACACTGATGATGTTGACTGCTGTGTGTGGCAGGCCCAGCACTGCACTGTTCTGCCATGAAGGACCTGGCTCTTACAGAACCTCTTTCATTCTTCTGTTCATTCTCTAGCAGTTGTTTATTATGACATTATTTGTAGAGACTAATATTTACTCTCAGCTAGAGCCAGAAAAAAATATGAAAATTAAAAGCTAAACTTGTATAGTTGAGATCAGTCTCTGCAGTGCTTAAGTGCTTTAAAGTAATTTCTAACTTAAACTTCAAGTTTCAGATTGAAAGATGGCTTTGATGACAGGAAAGACACTCAGCCTCATCAAGAGAGAGAGCTTCTTTGACGATGCATTCTTCACCGATGCCTGGGAGGATTTTGATAAGGCTGTCCAGTCTATCCTCGACAAGTTTGATAACTCAGGACTTCAGGTAACAAAAGAAATTACAAAATACATACGTATAGCTCTTTTTATTTACCACTTACTCATCCTTTGGATGGTAGTTGAAAGATTACAGAGGTAAGGAACCAGGTTCTAACATTTGATTAGTTAATAAATTTGTAGATGAGTGGTTCAAAGAACCGACACATTGTTAAATTAGACACAACTCTTGGGTATCTTTATTGAGGAAACGTTTCGCCACACAGTGGCTTCATCAGTCCATACAAAGGATAAACTTGAAGAACAGGAGGAGAATGAGGTAATCAGTCCCTCAACCTTGAGTTGATGTGGTCAGTCCATCAATCTTGAATAGAATACGGCATATCAGCGGAGAAGCAGCTTATAAACTGTAGGCAGGAGAGGTGCAGCAGTTGTAGGTGGTGTAACATTTGTCCAATGTGGAAGTAGGTCGTGCCCCAGGGTTAGGCAAGCGAAGAATTCCCAAGTATTAAGATCCCAAGAAGTTGCAGTGTCTGACAGGATTGTAGATGAATAGTTCACAGAACCGACACGTTGTTAAATTAGACACATGTGCAACTCTTGGGTATCTTTATTGAGGAAACGTTGTATGGACTGATGAAGCCACTGTGTGGCGAAACGTTTCCTCAATAAAGATACCCAAGAGTTTCACATGTGTCTAATTTAACAGTTAATAAATTTATAGTGGTAATACAGGTAATTTATTGATATAACCCTTTCATGTTTAGAAATGTTTGGCCTATTATTTTCTTTCTCTGCCCAAATTTTCATCCTGGGCATCTTAAATGCCAACAAAAACAACATAAATGGATAGGCATGATGAGGTTATAAGGCAGATAGTTGATATGAAATGAGAAAGTGAAAAATGATGATAAATTTGCTTAAAAACAGTTTAATAGATATTATTTTAAATGTCCATACAGTACATAGTATGTGCATTAAACCATACCACGGGTGGGGTTTGAACCCGCGGTCAGAGAGTCTCAAAACTCCAGACCAAATGGAAACAAGTGTTGGAGTGTGAGCAAGGTAACATTCATGGAGGGGTTCTGGGAAACCGGTTAGCCAGACTCGAGTCCTGGAGGTGAGAATTACAGTGCCTTCACTGTGAAGGAGGGGCGGAGATATTTGTGGTTTTTAACTGTAGTATCGGTGCACCTCTGGCAAGACAGTGATGGAGTGAGTGATGATGAAAGCATTTTCCTCTTTTTTTTGGGTCATTCTACCTTGATGGGAGATGGCCGGTGTTTAAAAAAAAAAAAAAAAAAATAGTATTAAGGTGTACGAAGGTTCTAAGGGCACAGATGTTTTAAACATAAAAAATGTATTTTATAAAGAATAAATTTCTTTTATGAAGATTATTAATCTAAAGGAATAATAATCGTGGATAACCCCAAAAGTGTCAATAAATGTGGGTTATTTCCAGCGTTGTTCAGTGATTATCTTCTCCAGGAACAACATATATGGTAGCCAACACATGGTACCTATTTAATAGTACATAGGTGAATAGGAGCAACAGGTGTATGGAAACATCCCCAAAGACAGAGAAAAAGGCAAAGACAACTTTATTTCTGTAAAGTATAGTAAATTGACACAGGATTAATTGACATGTATAAACTATAATATAAGAATATAATATAATACATGTATAATATAATATAATATTTAGTGAAGGGATTCAGGGAAACCGGTAATTTTATATAACCGGACTTGAGTCCTGGAAATGGGAAGTACAATGCCTGCACTTTAAAGGAGAGGTTTGGGATATTGGCAGTTTGGAGGGATATATTGTGTATTTTTATACGTATATACTTCTAAACTGTTGTATTCTGGGCAACTCTTTAAACAGTGATTATGTGTGAGTGAGGTGAAAGTGCTGAATGATGATGAAAGTATTTTCTTTTTGGGGATTTTCTTTCTCTTTGGGTCACCCTGCCTCGGTGGGAGACGGCCGACTTGTTGAAAAAAAAAAAAGCATACACTACTATATAAAAAAGCCTCTTGGTGTGCAGAGCATTTCAGGCAGCATTAAAATTTACCTACAACTCCTGAGCAGTTATACAATTAGGTTAGTTTACTAGAATATGGTTTGCAATCTTTGACATTTTATAAAGTGTAACTGTCCAATATCAGCTGACCCAGGACTGCACCCAGGTCCTTCCCTTGTGACATGAAGGAGCTACCACACAACTATGATAAAAGTTAACTTAGGCTAGTGCAATAAACTCACTTATTTCCACTAAGTTCCTTTCTAAGAATTATAATATCATCATCATGAGGTAGCACCAAGCCTACAGAGGTCAGACAGCATCTGGGAAACATGTAGTAATTATATTTGATATAAAGGAAGAACAGCTTTATTTCCAGCATCAAGGCACCTCACCCACCCTTTAAGGGAGTTGTAAAGCAAAGAGGAGAGTTTGAGAAAAATTAATCTCATTTCTGAATTCAGTTTCAACAGATAAACTAATCTACTTCCTAGGTGCATATCTAAGACTTTAGTTATGGATAAAGCTTCTAAGAATAACAAATAAATAATACATAATAGTAAATAAAGTAAAATGCCTTTTGCCTTACCTAGGTTGATGTGGGATCGCGATCACAGTGTCGGGATGTCTACAGTAAAATCCGCAGCAGCAAAATTGATGAAGATCTCTATGCCTCTCAAGCTCTCCAGATCACTGAGAAGGATGGCAAATTTCAGGTTAGTTGGGTCATATTGCAAAGTGCATGTTGCATCTAGGTTGAAACCTTGTACTAGAGGGACTAGTACCGAACTTGCACACGAAAATCACTCACAAAGAAAGCAAAAGAATTGGCAGACGATGCAACATCCCCCCAATGAAAAGCAGGGGTGTCACTAGCACGTTAAGAGACCATACAATAAGTGTCAGGGGCCCGAGACTGTTCAACTGCCTCCCAGCATACATAAGGGGGATTACCAACAGACCCCTGGCAGTCTTCAAGCTGGCACTGGACAAGCACCTAAAGTCGGTACCTGACCAGCCGTGCTTTGGCTCGTACGTTGGTTTGCGTGCAGCCAGCAGTAACAGCCTGGTTGATCAGGCTCTGATCCACCAGGCCGCCTGGTCACAGACCGGGCCGCGGGGGCGTTGACCCCCGGAACTCTCTCCAGGTAAACTCCAGGTACATGCTAAGGATTATTATTGCTGTTATATTCATGGTGGAGTGCTAAATACTTAGGGGTTATGCAGGACCTGAGGAATATAATACAGAGAGACTCCTACATACAAACACTCGTGTTGCGAACTTTCGATAATACGAACAATTTACCTCGAAGTAAAAAAATTTGGTGTTAGATTTAGTTCGCAGTCCGTCACATGGTGGTGGCAATGTTGTGCGGGAAGCACCGAGATGTAAACAGTACATAGTAGGTTACTCTAGCGGCACTGTTCATATGTGTACTTATGCTCTCTTCACAAATTCAGTGTTATTTGTGATTGTTATGGTACCAGAACCCAAGCGCTTCCAGACAAAGTTGACAGCAAAGGGGTTCCGTTTGCTTGAAGAATCTGTCATTGTTTGAATCACAGGATCTGAATGTGGAGTGGCACAGCAAGGTTTCAGGAGCTGTCCATGATGTAATTCACTGCTACCATCTCATTTATGAAGAGAAGAAGGCCACCACCCAGACATCCCTAGACTTCAAGAGGGTGGACAAAGACAACTTGCCAGGAGCCCCTGAATCAGTGCCATCAACTTCAGAAGCTACGACATTCAGAGCAACACCCTCTCACCGTCTATTTTATTAAATTTATATTATTTACAGACTTTATTGTAAATATAAACTTTATTTCATTTAATACACATTATGTTTACTAGTGTACAGTATATATTTTTCTTGTGTTCACATATATGTTTAAACTACATATGCTACACTACTGTACAATACAGTGGACCCCCGGTTTACGATCAGCTCCCAATGCGACCAATTATGTAAGTGCGTTTGTATGTGTATGTTTGGGGGTCTGAAATGGACTAATCTAATTCACAATATTCCTTATGGGAACAAATTCGGTCAGTACCGGCACCTGAACATACTTCTGGAATGAAATAATATCGTAAACCGGGGGTCCACTGTACTTGGATTTATGAGCAAATGGACTTACTGAGCCTGTTCGTAAGTAGGGGAGTCTCTGCAATCAGGTTTGCTCCAAGACGAGAAAAGGTGGCTACATTTCCCTGGACCAAGAACCTTCAGTATCAAGGCACCCCTCATTAGATACATACTGAGGAGCTGCATAATTACTGGTAAACATTCAGAACAGAGTATGTCATACTGTGTATAGTATGAACTTTGAAAATATATACTGTACTTTTTTCTGTAATTTTTCCAGCTAAATTTGCTTTGTAAATAATGCTTTATATTTAGTTATAGGATCACTTTTGTTAGTTTATCACATTAGGTTGAGCCGACTAGAGACAAGTGGTATAAAGGATTCAATGTGTTGATGGAGTGTGAGCAAAGTAACACTTATGAAGGAACTCAAGAAACTAGTTACCCACTGAATGTGAACCCTGAAGGAGATTTTGTCTGGATTATTAGCCCTGAGGGTTAAAAACCCAAGATAACCCAGTAAAGCCATTGCAACATACATACTGTCTGGCTTATTTGAAGTACAGTATATTGTTAGCTCAGGTTTTACTTGCATAACACTCAGGTGAATATGATGAATTTTAAAGGGTAGAATTAGATCTCTCTAAAATTATCACTGTTCTTTTCAGGCTGTAATGGACGTGAAGGACTTCAGCCCAAATGACCTTCAAGTTACGGGTGGTAGATGACCGTGTTGTGGTTGAGGGCAAGTACTGCAAGGTAAATGACCTTCAAGTATGAGTGAGTGGTAGATGACTGTGTTGTGGTTGAGGGAAAGTACTGCAAGGTAAATGACCTTCAAGTATGAGTGGTAGATGACCGTGTTGTGGTTGAGGGCAAGTACTGCAAGGTAAATGACCTTCAAGTATGAGTGGTAGATGACTGTGTTGTGGTTGAGGGCAAGTACTGCAAGGTAAATGACCTTCAAGTATGAGTGGTAGATGACTGTGTTGTGGTTGAGGGCAAGTACTGCAAGGTAAATGACCTTCAAGTATGAGTGGTAGATGACTGTGTTGTGGTTGAGGGCAAGTACTGCAAGGTAAGCCTTAGGAAAAGTAGAGTTAAATTGTCACAAGTAAAGCGATAAATTTGGGCAAATCCATTCAGTGTAATATCAGATACAGTTGTGGGAAGAAAGTCATTAAGACTAAAACAAAGTAAAATGCAGCAAATTGAGAGAATGTTTATTTAGTTTCACTGTTAATATCATTACCTTGATGGATCCTCAACATAAAGCTACCTTTATTCCCTCACCAACAGATTCATCTTGTCTTGCATAAAGCCATCTTCTGATACATCTACATACAATTTTTTTTTTAATTAACACATCGACCGTCTCCCACCTAGGCAGGGTGGCCCGAAAAAGAAAGACTTTCATCATCATTCACTCCATCACTGTCTTGCCAGAGGCATGGTTACACTACAGTTATAAAACTGCAACATTAACACCCTTCCTTCAGAGTGTAGACACTGTACTTCCCATCTCCAGGACTCAAGTCCGGCCTGCCGGTTTCCCTGAATCCCTTCATAAATGTTACCCTGCTTACACTCCGACAGCACGTCAAGTCCTAAAAGCCACTTGTCTCCATTCACTTCTGTCTAACATGCTCATGCATGCTTGCTGGAAGTCTGAGCCCCTCGCACACAAAACCTTTACTCCCTCCCTCCAACCTTTCCTAGGCCAACCCCTACCCTGCCTTTCCTCCACTAGAGCTTGTACACTCTCGAAGTCATTCTATTTCCTTCCATTCTCTCTCCATTTTCTCTATCAGGTGCCTCTTGTAATGTCTCAGTACACTTTCAGACACAGTTCTGTAATTCTGTTGCTCTTAACACATTTGCAATTCTTTGATTCTACTATGTAATTCTAAAAATAATCTCACTCTCGTCTTTAAAATTCTTACTACAGTATTTAGCACTTGTTTTACCTTGAATATGCAAACTGCAACTTGCATCTTTTTTTCAGTCTTATATTTTTTTATTATTAACACACTAGCCGATTCCCACCAAGGCAGGGTGGCCCGAAAAAGAAAAACTTTCACCATCATTCACTCCATCACTGTCTTGCCAGAAGGGTGCTTTACACTACAGTTTTTAAACTGCAACATTAACACCCCTCCTTCAGAGTGCAGGCACTGTACTTCCCATCTCCAGGACTCAAGTCCGGCCTGCCGGTTTCCCTGAACCCCTTCATAAATGTTACTTTGCTCACACTCCAACAGCACGTCAAGTATTAAAAACCATTTGTCTCCATTCACTCCTACCAAACACGCTCATGCATGCCCGCTGGAAGTCCAAGCCCCTTGAACACAAAACCTCCTTATACTCTTTCATAATCAAAACCAAAAACATGGAAAGTATTTTCACTGTTATTAGCTCAAAAGTAGAGGTTGATATTACTAAAAGATGTATAGAAGTTGGTGTTATGAGATTGGGAAGCAGGGGTTATGTTTATCATGATTGTAACCAATACTTCCTGGACCTGTACCTTGACACCAACCTGAAATTCACTACCCATATCCAACACATAGCAAAAAAAGTATCCAAAACAGTTGGGATCTTCTCCAAGATACGTTACTACATCCCACAATCAGCCCTACTCACACTATACAGTGAACCCCCGGTTAATGATATTTTTTTCATTCCAGAAGTACGTTCAGGTGCCAGTACTGACCGAATTTGTTCCATAAGGAATATTGTGAAGTAGATTAGTCCATTTCAGACCCCCAAACATACACATACAAACGCACTTACATAAATACACTTACATAATTGGTCGCATTCGGAGGTAATCGTTATGCGGGGGTCCACTGTAGTTAGTTTATTTTGAAGCTGCCTGACATGCTCTGCATAACCAAAGGCTTTCTGTAAAGTATGTCAGTAATGTCATCTATTCTTTTGTAGAAATAAAACTTATCATTTATCACTAGTTAATTCCAGAAACTTTTATGTAAATACTTACATTGTTAATACCAGAGGTCTTTCATTAGCAACTAATTTTTCATATTCCCATGTGTATGCTGCCTTCCAGAAATCTGAAGATGGTTCCACCGTGTCATCAAAATCATTCTACAAGGAGTTCACGCTGCCTAATAATGCCGACATTGATGCAGTCTCCACTGCACTCTCTAAGGACGGTGTCCTCACTGTCAAGGCTCCAAAGAGGGTATGTCTGACAGAGCAACAAATTTATTAAAACAATAAATGCTTTAGTTTTCTTCTTTTTTTATATTTAGTAAACTCCAGGCATTTTAGTTGACTTTTACAACATGCATGGTCCATTCCACTTCCCCATGGATATGAAAGGAAAATAATAAGAACAAGAACTATTAAGAAAAAATCAAAGAAAACTCAGATGAGTGTGTATACATAAATGTGTACATGCATGTGTAGTGTGACCTAACTAAGTAAAATTAGCAAGATACAGTGGAACCTCAAATATCGAACTGCTCCCAACTCAACCAATTATGTAAGTGTATTTTTATAAGTACTTTTATAAGTGTATTTTTGAGGGTCTGAAATGAACTAATCTAATTTACATTATTCCTGATGGGAATAAATTAATTTAGTAACAGCACTCGAACAGCCGTCTGGAACAAAGAAAGTTCGATATTTGAGTTTCCACTGTATACCTGTTATCTCGTATGTCTGAGACAGAAAAAAAGTCACCATCACGTAAAACAAATGCAGGTTTCTGTCTTACACTCATTTGGCAGGACAGTAGTACCTTCCTGGGTGGTTGCTGTCTACCAGCCTACTACTTATATAAACATCAGCCGAATTACTGTGACAGCGTATGTGTGCCCGGCATAAGTAGGTATGTAAGTTTATTCAGGTATACACAAATACAGTTACATAGATTATCATACATAGCAGCGTATGTGTAGAGAACCTGGGATAACCAATAAAGTCAGACAGTGACTTATTTCCATTGGAGTCCTTTAGTCGAGAACATTCTGATATCTCATCACAGGGTCTTTCACGAGTTAATTTAATATCTTAGTTATCTGAGATCTACCATCAGAGACCTAATGCTCCACAGATCTATCTTTGATTGACTCTTGGGGTCCAGACGTTCTCCAGATTGAACTTTTTATTATGGTTAGCCAGACTTGAGTCCTGGAGGTGGGAAGTACAATTCCTGCACTTTAAAGGAGGGGTTTGGGATATTGACTGTTTGGAGTGACATCTAAACTGGCATATCTGGGTGCCTCTGCAAAGACAGTGATTGTGTGAATGATGGTGTTGAATGATGGTGAGAGTGTTTCTTTCTTTTTTTTTGGGTCACCCTGCCTTTGTGGGAGACAGGTGACATGTTGAAAAAAAAAAGAAAAGAAAAATGCATTAGTTGAAATTACACATTACTTAAGCCGAATTAATATGCCTAGAGTTGATATATCTTAACTCTTTGATTGTCCGTCATGTAGAACTGTATCATTGAGGCCAGGACCCATCACATAGACCTGCCAGTGTTCATCACATTGAACTACGTCATTGAGGACGCATCATTGAATAGGACACACGTACAGAGAAAATGGTTTATTGTGACAATAATTATGTAGAATTGTACAGTTAGCTTGATGACGTTATACACTAACCTAAATATTATTACAAAAGCTTGTTCTATCCCTCTGTCTTTTCTTCATTACTGTCAGCAGTATACCTTGGCATCCAAAATATAACTGATATGGCATGTAGAGTGGATGGAATGAAATAGAATGACTTCGAGAGTTTACAAATCTGTAGTGGAGGGAAGGCGGGGGTATGGGTCGGCCTAGGAGAGGTTTGAGGGAGGGGATAAAGGAGGTTTTGTGTGCGAGGGGATTGGACTTCCAGCAAGCGTGCGTGAGCGTGTTAGACAGGAGCAAATGGAGACAAATGGTTTTTAGGACTTGACATGCTGTTGGAGTGTAAGCAAGGTAACATTTATGAAGGGATTCAGGGAAACCAGCAGGCCGGACTTGAGTCCTGGAGATGAGAAGTACAGTGTCGGCACTCTGAAGGAGGGGTGTTAACCCTTTCAGGGTCCGTCCCGTAGATCTACGGCTGGTCGGTGAGTGTCCAAACCGTAGATCTACGCCAAAATTCTAGCGCCGTCAAATTTAGCGCGAAAGCGCTCATAGGCCTACATATGAGAGAATGGGTCTGCGCGGTGGGTGTGCGCCATAAACAAAAAATCTAGGCGCCTGCATAGCATTGTGGGAACGCCGGCTCAGTCACCCTTGTTCACCATGTCTCGTCGCAAGTCAGCTCTCACTCCCCGGAAATTGGGACTCTCCTCTTCCTGTCTGATAGTTCTGACACTGATGGAAGTGGAAATGAAGACGAATTCTACGGCTTTGATGAGTTAGTGACCGAAAATAATGACCAGGATATCGATAATAGTGCAGAAAACCCCGACGATCCTCGACCTTCTACCTCTGGTGGGGGCACTCGTGACTCACGGTCGGTTGTTCCAAAAAGAAAGAGAAAACTAATTTTTTTCCCGTGGTTTGGCCTCTGGATTCAGAAAATTGACGATGATTTACGGGGAAATTTGTGTTTTTATTCCCGTCAAACGATCATTCGAGTAGTGATAGTGAGGAAAAAAATTCCCCAATTAAAGCGTGGGTTTATGTCCCGCCCCCGCTTTGCGCTCGGGGAGTGTACCCTATGCTAGGGCCCCGGGGAGGATAACATCCCGTAGTACACCCCGGGGGGTACTTTCCGTGGCCCTCCCCCGTTTTAGGTAGTGATATTTGAGGATGAGGGGAAAATTGGCATGGAGGGGGAAACAGACATCAGGGATGGTTTTTAGGGGGGGCTGGTGGGGGTAGGGGGCCCCCCATGCGTGACTCGCTGTGCACGGGGAAAACCCCACGCTGCTGACTCGTAAGTTAAAGGACAAAGCGGGGGTCACCCACCAGCCCGCCAAAAACCCAACCCTTTTCAACCCCCTTGGGATGCCCAGTATCCCCCCGAAAACCGTATCTGGGATTGGCAGCAAAACCCCAAATTTTGTTCCCACCCCTTTCCCACTTTGATGATCGCAAAGGGGGAAATTTCTACTCCCTTTTTCCCCTTGGGAAAAAGGGCCCAAAATGAAGGGAAATTTTTTTGAATTATTCTTTGACCAGCATTGGGGGAAACTATTGTCAGGGAAAGTAATAAGTTTTTTCAGTCCCATGGAAAAATACGATCTTATCCCACAGTCAAGCACACAGGGGGAAAGGCGACTGTTGCAAAATGTATTTGCTTTTTGCAAACAAAAATGCTTTTTTCCCTCACGTTTTAAAAACCCAAAATTAAAAGCATACTGGTCCACAGATCGGCTAATTTTTCCCCCATCCTTCAGTGAAATAATAAGTGAAACGGGTTTTATCTTACTGTTACGTATGTTGCATTCCTGAAAAACCCCGGCCTGACAGAAGTAAAGGGTTTATAAAAGATTTAGAAATGTTTTCATGTATCCAAACAAAAGTCAGGTTTATATTTTTACCCATTCAAGAATCTTGTAATTGACGAGTCTTTGATTTTGTTAAAAAGGTTTTAGATGTCATTCAAGGGGGTTTTTAATTACCGGAAAGGGAACCCCCTTTGGTAAAAAAATTGTTTGTACTCGTGTTTGGTGACAGGGGCCGGGTTTTTGGGGATATTTTGTTTTCAGGGAAAGGTAAAACATTGAAAGTACCAAATGTTATTGGGTATTTCGGGGTAAACTTTAGTGGGAAAACATGATGGCCCTTATTTTGGTTTAAGGGCCATTTTTTAAATATCCCGAAAACTGGTACAAAAAGCCCTTTACTCATTTGATTTCATGCGAGTGAACAAGACGATGTGTGGTGGCACATTTGCGTTTAATCGAAAAACATATCCCAGCTCAACGAAGGTTTTCGTGGTGATGACGTGCAGGTGTTTACTCCCAATTGAAAATCAGGGCATTACGGGGGATGACAAACGAGAGTCACATTTTTTGAAAAACATTCCCGTAATGAAATGCAAGACAGTGGCAAAGTTGATCGAGGGGACTAATAAACGTATTCAAAAACCCAGTGCCCAGTGATTGATTATAAAAAAAACATGCGTTTGGGGGTTGACAATTTGTGACATGCAAAAATTGGTTTTTTTTGCCTGTGTTCGAAAAGAGTTACAAGTGGGTACATGAACTTTTTTTCCCCCATCTGGGGGACTTTTTCAATGGAATGCATAAAAATTGTACCAAATAAAGATGGTTAAAAAGCCCCCTTTATGGTAAATTTTTGTTTGTCTGTTGTCAGAAAACTCAAAATGAAGTCCCAAGGTAACAACCCTCCCTACAACATGGTCCTGAATTCATCAAAATATCCCCAAGGGTTTTTGAGAAGAGAAGGTGTTTCATTTCATAAAAACAGCTTCCTTAAATCAAAAAAATTTTGGGGCTCAAAAGAGATGCTTGTCTGTGCACAAAAAAAAACGACGGCAACAAAGACGCAAAGCACTGGTTTATGTGTGGGGGAAGGGAAGGGGCCTCTGTGCATGGTGCCTTGTTTAAAAGGGATTTTTCCACAAGCTCCAGCGGGTTCAAAAAACCATGTCCAGTGATTGTAAAATGTAAATAATGTTTAAAAAACATTGTATTATAAAAATTTTTGGGTCCCATTTTTATTGTAAAAAAACCAACAGTGGTAAACCCAATAAAGGGATAATAACTTTAGTGCGGTTATTGTGTTCAATACAGGGGTTTTTTTTATATATAAATTATATACAGTATTGGTCTCTAGGCCCCAAATGTTGTAGGAAAAAGAAAAAAAATTGGAAAAAAAGAAAAAAAACCCAAAAAAAAACAAAATAATATAATTTGCGTAAGTGGAAATTTGTCGGGTTGCCGCCACACATCATTTTCTACAAATTCTTGGCACTGTATCCCCGGTTTAAATACTGATCAGATTCTTTAAATTTTTTTTTTTTTATTACCTTTACAAAAAAATTTCTCTTTTAAATTTTGTAAGAAAAAATAATTTTTTTTTTTTTTTAAAAAATTTTTTGGAACTGGTGCGTGACTTTAGTTTTTGGGCCTTGGACCCTTTAAAGGGGGTTTAAAGTTTTCAGTTTTATAAAAATGTAGTGTAGGCATGCCTTGGCAAGACAGTGATGGTTTTAAATGATGTTGAAAGGTTTTTTTTTTTCAGGGCCCCCCTGCCTTGGTGG